TAGAACATGAGATAATTGATAAACAGATTGCTAGCATACAGTAAGTTTTAACAGATAATAAAACAACACGCTCAGCGTGGTATTGAGATAGGAACTAGCACAGTGACCTTGGTTATCATAATTAATATCTTTTGCAGTATGACTGCAAAAGGACAAACAACAAACGAGGCACCGAAGGTCGCCTCACGACAGACCAATATGTTGGTAATTTTTGTGCATTTTTGTAAAATTGTGTTCAAAATCGACAAAAAAAATAGGAAAAACTATTCCGATAGAATTTATTTCGCAAAAATCCATCCCAAACTTTTGCCCCCGAAACTATCATTTTTGACTTTTGACTCATTTTACTCAATCAAAAACTGCGCTGAAAAGAATCTGGTCAACAAATGAGCAAATCAAATCAAATTGAGCCATTTTTGTAGCTCAGCAAATTAGTTATCCTCAATTTGGCATTTCAAACATACTTTTGACTATCAAACAAAAAAATCATCAGTTATTTATATTTTGAGGTTTTTTTAACTTTAATATAGTTGAACTACTTGAAAAAATCGTTTTTGCCGTTGAATAGACCCGGTATTTTAGAGACTTTAGGCCTTTTTTCTTTCCCCAGCTGAAAATTTTTTGATCAAGTTGCCTGACTGTCACCAAAAGGCATGCAGACTAATTAAGTCGTGAAAAACATAATTCGGCCTATTTTGTAACCTAGTAAAATCTCTTTTTACATCAAAATTTTGATTTACATATTAAGTGGGGAAAAGGAAAAGGAGCTTTGTTTCTCATTGAACTGAACCCAAATTGACTCTTTTAAGAAGCTCACAAAAAAATTTATACCATGTTTATGTTTACTCAGTTAAAAGTTAAAATACTTTCTGCTTACATCTCTTTTGTTCAACATTAGCCGAAGAAAAAGCTGTTTAAACTTTCTATTTTATTTAGTTGTGTCCAGGTTAATTTATATCAGCACTCTGAAACATGGTTTAAAATCGGCAGTTTATGAGTATATGAAACATTCGAGTAAATGAAACATGAATCAGTGGTTAAGGGAAACTAAGTAGACTGTAGCCTTGTTTGTACCAATGAAGTACGTAATCATTTTACGAAATTCGGAGAAAAGATGGAAATTTTGTGCTCGGTGTTTTTTCTTCAGACAAATTACGACTTGTTATTTAGAAGATTGTGACTGGAGTTTCTATGCAATCTGGAATTTTGAGGCACTGAGCTCAAAAGTGAACAAGACTGCTCGTATCTTTTTAATGTCTCTGGGGCAATCTGAAATGGCAATCTTTAAACCCCAATAACACTAGGAAAAGTGATCACAGGTAAAATATTTTTCGAATTCAAGCTCAGGACAACAAAAATTTTTGATTGATTAAAAAAAATTCCGTCAAAAATGGCTTATTAAAAAGTCGAAATTAGTCTGAGAAATTAAAACCCACCCGAGCACAAATACACCGTACTTTCGTTACAAGCAAAAAAATTTCTCTTATACAGTTTTTTTTTGGAAATTCAACTTTTCTAGAACTATGTTGGGATGAGAAAGAGGCTCCTTGAGGTTTAGTTTTCGCATCTTATTGTAACAATTGCCCGGAAAGTACAAAACGACGAAAAGTAAAACTGTATCCTATAACGACTGGCTAACTTCAAGATAAAGCTTCACGTGCTTTTCACCGTCTCTACCGAAGCCAGTTCAAAATGGTCTCCATAACATTGGGTCAACGAGTTGTTACTGCTTAAACGCTATTAGCTGAGTCGCGCAAATTAACTTAGTTGCATGCAAAATAGTGAGTTGATGGCTGGGTCTCAGTATCCCCAGATTACGAGGTCACTCCTATAAACGGGGCAGATACAGTAACATTATTAAGTTATCATATTACTATTGTTTTTGTACAGCAAAGAAAATCACCTTATCCATCGGCGATGGATCGACCCTTTCCTTAATCCTTAGCTTCTCATAGCCTGAAACTGAAAATAGGTGTTATGATTTGAATTCAGGACATCTCCGGAAGATAAAATATTAAAATAACAGTTCGGAAGTATATCTCAAGCCCCTCCGATTCCTTCAATATTCCTGAAGAGACGCCTTCTCCACGACCAGGAAGGGTTGCCGTCTTCACTCTTGACCTTCCTGATCGGTTTAATCCTTCCGGTAACGATTGTATCAGCACAACCGTTACAGTTCGGAAAGTTTCTTGTTCTTCCAATAATTGTCTCTCTTGATGTCGTCGCTATTTTTTTCTACAAGCGAAAATTACGGTTCTCCACTCGGTTCTGAGCTTTGCTGTGTTTCAGTTGTCGCTGTGTTTCAGTTTAAAAATTAGCACGTAAACTCAAAGTGACCCTTCCCTATTCGTTCTTTTTGTGAGATAAGACCGTTTAACACAGAAACTGCTCTTTTGTACAGTAGAACCACTTAAAAAATTTTGTTTTGGCCAACCATTTTTTGGCACAATGCCACAAATAACACAAATAACAAGATAACTTCAACATAATTCTTGATTAATTGAAAAAAGCCAATAAGACCCATTCTTGGGGTAAAATTTTGATTTGAGAATTTTGGAGGAAAAAAAGTGCAGCATATTATTTCTTGTAAAATTGTAAGCAACTTTTGTTTTCTTCATTTTTTGTCTAAACCTAACCCAAATTGTGAAAAACGCGTTCGAAAATTCAAGTTTTGAATTCAAACAAGCGGGAGTTTGCCTTCAAACACGCAGTCGTCTTCAATTTCAAAGAGTCAGTTAACTTTAATCAAGCCAGTTTAATTAAGAGTTCAACAATTCAAGGTAACCTGAGCAGATACTCCTCGGCATCAATTTACGCTTGAAGTGTATATCACTTTAGTTATTGCAGTTGTGATTCCTTTTGATTTGCGCAAAAATTACGAGGCCAAACTGTGGACCGGTGAGGCTATAATTTGCTGGCTGAAAGTCACTGGAACCCAGAGACAAGTCTTCAAACATGTTGAAGTTTTGGCGGCATGACCTAAGGAAACACCAGATCAAAGAAAACCAAAAAAACGGTCTTATTGCGAAACCATATTACAATTAAAGTAATTCACAAAATTTACAGTTCGGCCTCATAATCAATCACAAAATTGGGCTTTTTTCAACTCCTCCTCCCGTATGCTGTACGCAAATTGAACCTTATGGTTAAATGCGTGACAGACGGCGTGAAAAAAAAACAAAAAATGCTACCCAAATCAGGGCTTCCTAAAAACATATTTAGTATTGCAATTATTGCAATAAGTGAAATGAAAAATAGTATAGGAAGTATTTTTTAATGCAACTGAAAAATAAAAGGTATTATTTTAAACTGAAAATTTACTTTGCAATAATTAAGCAGTCCTGCCTTATGCACTATTAGTGCATAGTAATCTAGGTAAAAGGCAGTGAACCGCTGACAGAGTTCATTTTGTTTGTACGGCTAATCAAAGTGCGTCGGTCTGTACATTTCCCAAGCTGTTCAATGGGGGCTATTCTCATGCGCGAAGGACCGAATGCGCGAGAAAACTTGTGTGCGAAAAACCGAAAACAAAATTAGCCGAAAGTCAATTTTTAAAAAGAAGCAGTTGCCATTCAATTGAAAAGAAGTAAACGAAGATCAGTTTGCTCCTTTCATTACGAAACCCTTGAAATGTAAAACTTGTCCCAATTTTGCGGCGGTCAATGACAATATTAAATATTGCATATTTCTGCCGTTTTTAAATTCGGCCAATCTCAATACCCCAGTCCCTGGAAATGTTTACTTTCTTTCCAAGTTTTAGATTACTGAAATCTGATTGGCTGATTTATATTTTCGCGCATTCGGAGCTTCTCGCATGAGGGATTCCACCCTGTTCAATCACATCTTTGCATTTACAAACGCGTGCTTGTTTACTTCTCAATTGCACATTTTTTTAAGTGGAAGTATCCTTGCTGTCACACAAAGTGGTTTCGGAGTGTTTCTTCGAAAACATCGAAAATGACATGTGTAAATGCACGGTTTGGCCACCAAGCCTTAAAGCCTAGAAAAAAGACTCCTAGCTCGGGGTTCTGTAATCTTTATAGCCATGTCACGGCAGAGCATATGAACTGGAGAGAAACTATGAGAGCTGGAACTGTGCAACAACTTCTAACATCCGCAACTAATAAAGCGATCAATATTTATTCTTGGCTCGACTAGGTAATATGGAGAATCAGAGATCTGTTTTCCAGAAAAACCGTAAATTCGCAAACGTTCGAGGCTTGAGCCTATAACTGACGATACAATAAAAAAAAGTACATGACAGCCGCAACTAAGGCTATGGAAGAACTAATTGCCACAGAATTACGGAAAAGTTTGGTCTCATAATTGATGGTTGTAGTCACAACTCTGTTCATTTATGTTAGTATTTTTGCAACTTATGAATCAACCGAAAAAAAACTCCTTTTCCTCTGCTCGCAATCGCGCCGCTACTGGATGAAGAAAAAAAGACGCTGAGAGCCACATAATTTTTTTTTGTTGCGACACTTTCAGTTTTTGATAAAATACCAGATGCCATTCAGTTTTTAGTAGCGGTAAATGAAGCTGCGAAAAAGGCAGTATCGAATCTTTTGGGAGTTCCTTTCATAGGCTGTGCGAGTCACCGCCTAAACCTGGCTGAGAACCTATTTTTATCCAAAAAAGTAATAGAAAAAGTACACAATCTAATGCGAATAAAGTTATGCGGCCTGAAGAAGTCAAAGAATAAGGCAAAATTGCGGAAGTCTACTCCAATCCGCCCTATTTTGCGGAACACGACCAGTTGGAGAACACGGCCAGATTGACTTTGAGGTCAGATCAATTTAAGCTCAGGGCACATTTTCAGGTGGTACAGAAAAATTCTTCCAAAAAAGGCTAGTTAAAAAGCCGAAAGTTGTCTTTTGAACAATTAACGGAGCGAAAAAACCAACCAAGCACAAATATTCCGTCACTACTTTCTTTGAAAGTCTAAACTAAGACAAGTTTGAATTAGATCTTGAACATAGAAATTCAAATTGGTGGAAAAGTAGAAAAGGGCCCAATTTCGCAATATTTTGTTTCCGTTTGAGACTCATGCCATTCAATTTCATCCTGTCGTTTTTTTGCGCTGACTTTTCTTGTTGCCTCTGTTGTGATTTTTCTTCCCACTGTTCGTGTTCGATTTAGATCCACTTCCACTGGCGCCGGAACTGCCCCCCGCACCTCCCTTCTCCTCGTGGCACTCTTTTCCTTTGTTTCCTTTGTTGGACGTTTCTTTCTCCTCCTCGCATATCCAGGGGTTATCCCTGCACATGATGTTATGTTTGAACCAATGGAAAGTCAACTCTTGTGTAATGTTTGAATAACTGAATGACTTTGATTCTACGTGGGCAATTCCTAGGCCGCCCATTTCCATTCCAGCCAACAGATAGGGTTCTCCCTCCTTCACTGTTATGTGGTGGCTTCGTTTCAGGTTCCCAGGTCCAAACCCGATCTCCAGAATTATATTCTGGCAGACAGGCGCGAAATAAGTTGCCTAAAAATCAGAAAGAGAAAAGTTAAGAAGAATTTCTCAAAATCACTGAAAGTCAGTTTCAAAATCAACAATACGCACAAAGGTTGATTTAGGGGTGAGATACGATTACTCTCTTTTTCAGGGTTTCGACCCTCTGACTTCCCTGTGGAACCCCTCTGGTACTATTTAGCAACATCCATTTTCGTCCGACCAATCCGTGTGATTTCAAAGGCTTGTTTGGAGCAAAATACACAAAATTAGGGGGGGGGCGCTAAAAAAGCACGAGTTTTTTGGTGAAAACTTTCCACAAATTGCCCAAAATGTCATTTTTTTCCCCGACTAGGGTCGAGTTTAAGGGTGGGTCGGGGTTGGACGCTTCTTTTCTCAGAGATTTAAGAAAAACGTGTCGAAATAGGGTCTCTTCGTTGTTCTAAGAGAGCGTGAAAAATCAATATGGTAGAATAAAATTGAAGGTCATCAAAAAATTTTGAAAATCTGCCTCCTCCCCCCCCCCGAGATTATCCTAGATCTCACTTGGTCCTGACATTTCAGAAACTTTGGCAAAATAGGGTTTTAAACCGTTTAGATAGAGCTAGAAAAAAGCAGCAAAAGTTTACATAATTGAAGTTACGGATATGTAATTAAGGGTGCGGTTCTCATCCTCGTAGTTGGCTAATTTGTCCATGTATTCGTCCGGATTCCACTCTTTGTTGTGCAGTCCATAGATCAGGTACTTCTTCACCTGGTCTGCACAGCACGCACCTGTGTAATGTGGAACCAGTTCTAAACTAGTATTTATAAGCCAATTATATTATTGATAGATTATCACTATAAAATATTTATAACCAACCAATCATATTCCATCTCTAACATTGACACTTATTTGTAGGTGCTTAAACTCCTTGTAGTTTCAGCACCAGAACAATTTGAATCAATCTTAGACTACAGTTGTTCTCCTTCTGGGTGAACTCCAAGAACTAACTCACATAAACCAGTATACACTAGATCTATTGAGACTAAATATAAGAGTAAGATTAAGATTGGTATTAGACTAAGAAGTTGCACGAATCTATCCGGCCGAAAATATGATAGTGTGACGAGCAGACGGTATACCTTATCTGAAGTCACTCTATGAGTATAACTAATAGGTCATAACTCATCTGGTGCGACCAAAAGTCATGAACAAGACCTTAACTAACTTAGAATTAGACAAACGACCTTAGAATTAGACAATCGCAAAATTGCGAAAATGTTAGACAGAATAGATAATTTAATAGAAATGTCTCTACGTCTCAATAAATTTACGCCAAATTTCCAAACAATACAAGAAATACAAGGTATTGAAAGAAGACCAAGATCGTGCCGTGAAAAATGATCAGGAATCGACCAGTCTGCTACATGATACTACGACGGAAACCGGAACAAATTTTGTATTTAGAGTACTTTATGCAGTAAATTTAAGTTTTCCTTTACTGACTTGAAAGTAATTTGTAGAAAAAGTTCTTCAACAAATTTACTGGTGCTAAACCTACAATCTATACAAAAACGACTGATAAAAAGAGCTACTCGATACTCGATACTCTCATTTTTTACAACCACAAAATGATCCCGCTCGAGGACAAATACATTTGTTTTACAACTGAAAAAGGAAATGGAACAAGAAATCTTACACAACAAGATATTCAACTTCCATCACATTTCGCTGATGAAGAAATAATCGAAACAATGCCAGCAACAACGCACCAAAGCATTTCCCCTATTCATTCTACCTTTACAACTCCAAAAAAGAAAACTACAGCATTTCCGCAAACAACTTTTTAATCCACAGTAGAACTTTCCGTTATTCCAAAATACTCACAAAAGGATTATCAAACATTTAAACCAGTAACGAAACCAAGACAAACAAATAAGCACAAAACTATATTCAAAACGTACCACAACAAGCCTCAAACACCGTATTTTTTAACAATCAACCGAGCTACAACGGATCGTAGCGAATATTATCCATTTTTCCAGCAAAATAAAAACATCACAAATAAACACCGTACAAGGAGTCTACCACATTACTCAGAAGATGAAAAATACTTAAGTCAAAATCAACAACGAACGATTCAGTATAAATCAACAAAACAATAATTGGAATATTGATAAACCAGATCCTATTCATCAACCAGATCTTTTCAAACTATATACACGAAAAGGACAAACACGACAAACAAGACATAAACCAACGTTATATAACAATAACTTTCAATCATAAAATCCTAAAAATACACGAATTGATCAACCAAATCAAATGCAAAATGAAATCCCGTTACCATATTATTTAAAACAACCCGAAATAAAAAAAACACAACTTCTTCTGAAAACCCAAATGCCACAGAATCACTACAAATGACTATGAATCCATATCTTATTGGTGGATCTTCTATATCTTCAAATAAACCACTAATGGTATTCACAGGAATAGATCCTGAATAATCAGTGAAGATTTTTCAAACACAGTCACAGCCAGTTTAATTTTAAATTTAGGACCTGGCCAATAAAAACGACACTTCATCAACATTATACATAGACTCATAGCTCTAAACCAAACTAAACTTGATAGCGCAACCCAAAAATGGCTTTCAGTTTTACCTATAGATATTAAATCAGATTGGAAAAAAGTCACAAAAGAATTTTCAAAAATTTTTGACTCTGAAAGAAACAAACAACATCAAAGAATTCTATGCTACGAAATTCGTAGAATCCCTAATGAATCTATAAAAACATTTGCAGTAAGAATCGAAACATTGGTCAGAAAAGCATATTCTTTAATACGCATGACTATAAAAACACAAAAATTACAGAAATTTTGATGACGACTCCAACACCACAAATACGGAAAATAGCAAAAAATAAGAGACCATCGCATCCATCGTCAATTCGAGAACTCAATATAGTCTTCCCAAAACTAGTAGATAAAATAGAACAAGCTGAACACACTATGAAACTGGAAGCGACAGAAAATTTAAAATTACAATACGTAAACAACATCCATACACCTACTTCACAAATAAATAACATTCATGCCTCTGACATTGAACTAGCTGAAAAATCACTCAAATATTGAATATCTACGAGAAAACCCCTAAATATCTACGGGAAAACCTCTAAGGCGAACCATCATTCAAAATGGTGTAACTATTGCCGTAGGTATGGATATCAATATCGAAATAATTATTCAAAATCAAACTCAAACAGAAGTAATTACTCCAATTACAATAGAAATTGTTCACCTTCAAACTCTCAAAATAGATGTTATTCGAAGGACCGTTCTGGAATATCCTCAAAGAACCGAGACTGAAACTACTCAAACAGTAGGATAGATAATACTCAGATGAAAAATCACGAAACTATTCAAACAATAGATCAAACTATAATAATTATCACAATAGTTAACGCGACATTTCCAATAACCGAAATTCTAATTACTGAAACCGACAAAAAAAATTATTTTCAGTCACCACATAGATTTAATACACAAGAACAAAATTCACAACAAAACTAAAGAAGTAGCACACCTAAACATCAAAGACAAATCAACCAATTATAATTAACAGAAGAAACCCAATCAGACCCTCCCGGTGTTGATAAAACAGAAAATTCAGAAATACAAATTAATCACATGAATTGTGAATCCACAGATGATGAAAGCGAAATAGAAAATACGCTTTCAAAAAACATGCTTCAAATTGAAAATGAATATGAACCACCAGTCGAATCGAATTTTTACCAAAACAATGATAATCATTTTCAAAATTCCAATAATACTCAAAACATAACAAACAAGTAGTTAAAGAAAGTTCAAGTACAAACAATATATATCAGAATTCAACAAATAAAGTACAAATACCAAAAGAAAAAATTTGGACAATTCCACTTCTCTTAGAAACCCCAAAGAGCAAAGATATCTAATCACCAGACCTCGAAATTGATTTTTTAATAGATTCAGGAGCAGAATCAAATATTATAAATGCTCCCACATGGAAAGAAATACAAACTGTACATCCAAATTTAGTATCTTCAAAGATCTCAAGCAAATTAGCTACAGCACAAGGATCAAGTTTAAAAAATTTTGGAAAAATTCATTTAATCCTGGTTCCCACTGGAACAAAATCATTAAAATGAAACAAAATAAAAATTTTAACTAAACCTTTCAAACAAACACTCCATATCACAGACATAAAACACAATATCATTGGAATACCACTTATTACTATATATATATTCCCACTATTAATATCCTAAACAGCAAAATACATATAAAGGATAAATATACAAGAATGTATATAACCCTTTATATAACCAAGAACGAAAACATCTGAAACCACTAGCAGGATATGTATATACCTTCTCAAAAAGTCAAGTCCACCAATACAGTATGAAACAAAACAATCAACGACTATATATGCCAGATCTTGAATTCAAGCCATTTCATAAATTTTTTGGATTAACAATCTCATTAATTAAACACACAGATAATACAAACTCAGATAAAACTTCATCACAAGCATACAATAGTTCTCCTTATAAAAAACATTTCCTCTGGGACTCTTAGGTTAATGTGAAATAAATGCAAGATTTTCTCTCATAACAGAAATAGCATATAGAGTAAATAACATCTTGAAATTATTAGATATATGCCAAATAACAAATCCTAATGAAGAGTTATCAATTAATAATTAAATAAGGGATAAAAAAAAAGAAACACAGACTATTTTACAAAAAAAACCTTATTTTAAACCAACAATTTTTCAAAATTCGAAATATACCATTGAACAACAAAAGTTCCTTACAATGTTCAGTTTTCAACACTCTCAAATAACGCAAAAAAAATATGAACAAATAGCTGAACTACTGCATAAATAGCCAATGGCTTACGCTACAACTAAATTTGATGTTGGAAAAGTAAAATTCACCACTATATCTACCTCTAAAACCTGGCACAATCTTCAAAAAACAACGAGCAACTAAAGTTCCAATTCCCAAGATAAAGTCAATAAATTACTAGACACATCAGAACAATCCGAAATCATTTCTCCAGTAAATAAAGAAGAACAACCAAAAGGAAATACATTCATGAATCCCGTTATTATTCCAGCTAAAAAAGAATCAATACAAAATTGTTTTAGACGCAAGATACCTCAATTCCCTCGTTGATGAATCTAATTGTATTGGGCCAGAACCAATTCAAGTAATTCTCACAAAAATAAACGGAAAATATTTTACAACAGCTGAAATGAACAGCGCATACAATCAATTGCCTCGTTATTGGAAAGCAACAAAACGAATTTAATAGACTTTCAATGAATTTCTATAGAACTAGCAGCATTCTCAGCATTTGTGAGTAAATTTTTCCGACCACTCCCTTCTCAGTAAAAATGTCATTACATATTTAGACGATGTTTTCATGCAATCTCAAAACACGAAATCTTTAAAGTATTGGATAAAAACCACCAAATAGTAGCTAAAAGAAAACATGAAAGCAGACCCAGACAAATCACATTTTTTACTCACTCGTATAAAATTCCTCGGAAGTATTATTGAAGGAAATACAATTACTCCATTAAAATTTCCCAAAGACGCAATCATGAAACTTCAACTTTCATCAAATAAAAAGAAAATCCAAATATTTTGGGCAATGCTAAACTTTTTAAGTAAAAACGTCTATTAAATGCAATTATATTTAAGACCACTTTATAACAATCTCAGGAAAAAAA